CGAATGGAGGGTGCGTGCTGGTACTGCAAGAAGGCTGGACACCCATGGTTCAAGTGTTTCAGCCGGCCTGAAGGATGGGCGCCTCCAGGCATGAAGCCGCCAAGTGGTGAACGTGCACGAGGTGGTGCTGTGCAAGGTTCAGGTGCACAGGGTGATGGTGCACAAGGTAAAGCCGACCCTGGTATGTTCCTCATGGTTGAGGACGTGCAAGGGAGTGGGGGTGATGTGGGTTCAGTTGGGAAGGTTGTGATGCACCCCCTCACTCACTGGGTGATCGATTCAGGTTGCACGAGTCACATGACTCCACGGGCAGATTTGCTTGATGAGGTGAAGCCCCCTGGGAAGATAAAGTTTGTGGCTGCCGCTTCAGGTGTCTTGCTCCCTGTGATTGGTGTTGGGAATGCCAAGGTTATGGGAGCTAATGGGGGGCTTGTGGGGCTGGGAAATGTGCTGTTGGTTGAAGGTTTATCCGCTAACCTCCTCTCTGTGCGCCGGCTGCAGAAAAGCAAGGCCAAAGTTACGTTCGGCCCAACCAGCTGCCGTGCAAAGCTTGGGAAGTTGCTGCTGTGGGATTTGGAGGAGAAGAGCAGCTGCATCAAGGACCTGTGGCAGCTGCCCATCATCCCTTGGAATGGGAAACCTCCAGCAACGGCAAAGGCAGCGGCAGCGGCTAAAGCAACTGCGGGAGGAGAGGAGACTGCACCAACTGCTGGGGCCCTGGATGCAGTCAAGAAGGTGCAGCAGCCACAGCAATCACATGGTGAGGTGCTTGCTGGTGTGGATGCAACGGCTGCATGGGCAAAGGCTTCTTCTGGGAGTGGTGAGGCCGATTGGGAGACGTGGCACGAGAGGTTGTGCCACATCAACATTCCGATGCTGCAGAAATTGGTGAAGGATGGGAACCTGAAGGGATTGGAGGTGAAGGGGGCAGCAAGGGAGATTGGGAGCTGCCCTACATGCCTTGAGACCAAGTTCACGAAGTTTCCCTTCAGCAGCAGCACGGGACCAGCGAAGGCTCCACTTGCACTTGTGCACATGGACGTGGTGGGCCCCACGAGGGCCCCTTCTCTCTCGGGAAGCCGCTATTTCCTGACCATTGTGGATGACCACACACGTGCGGTGTGGGTCTACCCTCTCAAGACTAAGGGGGAGGTGGCAGCGGCTGTTCTCAAGGAGTGGATGCCGAGAGCACAAAGGGAGAGCGGACACAAAGTGAAGGTGATCCGCACCGACAATGGGGGAGAGTTCATTGGCGCTGTTTTTGAGGCGGTGCTGAAGAAGAAGGGGATCCAGCATCAGCTCACGGTGCCCTAAAACCCTCAGCAGAACGGCGTGGCTGAGCGGTTCAACCGGACCCTGCAGGAAGGTGCTCGCACTCTCCTTGGGCGTGCAGGGCTGCCGGATCCGTTTTAGGTGACTGCACTACGGCAGGTCGTTGTGGTGAAGAACAGGGTGCTCGCAACTGTGGGGGACAAGCAGTGGGTGCCTTACACCAAGTGGTATGGGAGTGCACCAGCAGTCAACATGCTGAGAGCCTACGGCTGCATGGTGGTGTTTCATGTGCCGAAGGAGAAGAGGGGAAAGTTGGAAGCTTCTGGAAGATGGGGTGTGCACTTGGGACTTGCGAAGGACCACAAGGGCTGGCTCATATGGGACTTGACCAGCCAGCAGCTGACTGTGTCAAGGGACGTGAAGTTCCTGGAGTCCTTGTACTACAAGGAGTGGAAGCAGCAGCAGCAGAAGCTTCCTACGACACCGCTGATCGTTGAGGCTGATGAGGTGCAGCGGCCTTCGAGGCAAGTGCAGGTCACTGTCTCAGAGGAGGAGATTTCTGGGGTGACTGAGGATGGGGGAGAACCTGAGGTGGAGGAGCCGCAGCAGCAGCAGCAGCAGCAAGGTGCTCCACAAGGTGCCGCATGTCCGGCTGACTGTCCTAGGAGGGATGTGCACCCTCCTAACAGGCTGACCTATGCGAGCTGTGGCACGCCAAGTGTGGTACCGGCTGGAAGTGTGGCTGAACAGATGGATGAGGATGAGATAGCGTATTGCTATGGAGCTCCAATGAGATGGTTTGGTGGATAGTGTTTTGAAACAGACGCTGCAGAGTGTGCTACAGATTTGAGCAAAGAGGAGATGTTGGAAGTGGGATGTTGGAAGGAGATGATTGTCCATTGAGATGAGTGTTGGAAGTGAATGAAGCTTGCGGGAATGAGTGTGCATTGAGGGTGCATGCTTGAGCTATGGCATGTGGGATGATGGTTGGCAGCCAGAGGGGGAGTTTGTTATGTGATGCTATCATTTGCATTCACGTCTGTCTGCCTCCCATCATGTGTTCGTGCGTTGCATGTGTGAGATGAGCGTGCGCAAGAATTTGTGTTTTTCTGTGGTTTGGATTTTCTGAGTGTGTGTGAATGTTATTTGGCTTGGGCAGATATCTGAAGTGACAGCTCTACTCAAGATCTTTCCGACGAGCCAAGAATCGTCGCGATCGGAGCAATATCAAGAAAGTTACGAACGTTGGAGTCCGTATGCTTTCTGTACTTCGGTTGTGGCGACTATGGGAAGTTGTGGGGTTGACTCAATATGGGGTACAGACTTTTGGGGGTTGGGAATTCGAACCCATCACTGTAGAATGCTGCCATGTGGTTGGGTGAAGCCAAACCAGGTTGGCAAGTGTGGCCAAGTGGGTTGAGGTGGATGGCATGAGTTGGGAAAGTGACAAATGTGAAAGTGGGGTTGCCTATGGGGAAGGGAATTGTGTGGCATGGGGTTTCCTTGGTTGGGGAATCTCTTGGGACCTTCCCTCTCGTCCTCCTCTTCCCTCCTACCTGGTTTAGTGCTACCCTAACTCTCTTGTGTGCAATTTTGTGGAACTTGTGAGAACCATTGTGATTGAGTTAAGCATGTGGCAGCATACCCCCTAGTGCGCCGAAAATCATAACTCGAGATTTACTCCATCATTTGATACGATTCAAATTGGAAAAGATATCCCTGGTTACAGGCTACAACATACTCGAGTTTGAGACAATTCCAACGGTGCAATTTTAGCCGACGATGTTTCTTGTGAAGTCGCGGTTTCTGTCCAGAAATTGAGACCCACGATTTTTGTGTTATTTCGGCACCTAATCTTTATAGACTCCGTCCTTAGTCTCTAACAACTACCAGAGAAAGCTAGGATGCCTTCTCTTCGCAGTTGTTACGTGCCGTCCGGATCTATCATACTCCCAAGCCAGCTCGCCACCTACCTCAAGAAACCTGAAGCAGATCATATGGCAAAACTCGACCGCACTCTCCACTATCTCGTCAGCACCCCAACCGTCGGCCTAACCTACCACAAAACCGGAACCACGACTCCTAAGCTAATCGGCTACGTCGACGCCGATCACGCCGGCGACTCAGACAACAGGCGTTCCCGCACCGGCTACATCTATCGCTTCGAGCCTATCGGTCCTATCTCCTGGCAGTCGAGCAAACAACAATTAATTGCCCTCTCTTCAGCTGAAGCAGAATATATCGCACTCTTCTCAGCCACGAAGAAAGTACTGTACCTTCGCGAACTCCTGGAGGAAGTGGAGCTCGCTCAGTTACCCAGCTTCACCCTGTTCTGCGACAACCAGTCAGCAATTCGCATAGCCAACAAGAACGGCTTCGCGAACAGGACGAAACACATCGCCCTACGATATTTCTTCGTGAAGGACGAGATCGAGAAGGGGAGACTCGAGCTGTCATACTGGCCTACATCCGAAATGACAGCTGACTACTTGACCAAAAAGCTCGGAAAGCAGAAGTTCGAGTACTGCATGCTGCTGACTGGACAGAGTCACGTAACCAGGAGCGACACTCCAGAAGCGAAGGGTAGTGTTGGAAACAACTAACACCAAGACACAAGCGAAGCGAAACATATCGAAGCACTAGCGAGTCAACCCTCGGAGGTTGAAGTAACTGCTGGAGCCTGGAGGTTACGCGAAAGTCAAAGGTCAGCGACCTTTGACCTGACAAATACAGCGCGACAGCAAGGACACACAACAGACTCGTTACAGAGCAGTTGCCCGAGTCGTCACTGTATCGAACCGCAACAGCAACAGTAAAGTAGTTATAACTGCATCTCTTCATATTCCTTGTACTCTCATATAATCTTGTATCTCCTTAATCAATCTACTTTGCCCTCACATACTAGCGCACGGTGGTTCACAACTCTTTATTAAACGCTTTTGCTATTACATCAGTCCTACCAGGAGTTTAGTCCTATAAAAGATCCTTTTCTCAGCCCAACAACAATGACTGGGGGGGGGGGGTCGTTTCTTGCTTGGTGCTTTTGATGCTATGCTTGCTGGTATGCTTGATGATATCTACTGTGCTTGATGGCACTTGCGGGGTGGGGTGGGGTGGGAGGGGACCATTGTGAGCACCTCCATCCATCTGTACCCTGCTCCCATACTCCCACTCTGACACCAAACAACACCTGTTCATTAAATATAAGGCGCCTGTGCATACACCAGATTGTTCTTTTGTGTCTAGAAGAATTATGTGACATTATGTACATCCAATCCAAGGCTGTGGAGTGGAAAGTTTGGATGGCGGCCCAGTGCAGCGACCAGTACTGTGTGCATTCGGCGCACAGTAGTACTCATTGGGCGCACAGTAGTACTCATTGGGCGCACAGTAGTACTCATTGGGCGCACAGTAGTACTCATTGGGCGCACAGTAGTACTCATCGGGCGGAGCAACAGTTGATACACCATCCAGCAGCACAAGATAGACCAGTGTTGTGATGCTGCCTGTCACTGGAGTCTTTTGAGACGTCTCAGAAGTCTGTTTGTCACAGGAGGGGGGGGCTGCAGCAAGTCAAGGCGGGGATGGGCTGCAGCAAGTCAAGGCGGGGATGGGCTGCAGCAAGTCAAGGCGGGGACGAGCTGCAGCAAGTCAAGGCGGGGATGGGCTGCAGCAAGTCAAGGCGGGGATGGGCTGCACGCGAGGGCATCGAACTGCACTGGTCGCGCCTAGGAGTCTCGGCCCCAGGGTGGCCGGCTCACGGCACCACCACCAGCACCACTGTACCCATCCCTTCCCCACTGGCTCGCACCACCAATATCCTGCACGCGCTGCAGCCACTGCTGCATGCCATCCTCACCACCCGGGATGCCGTTCTGCGCCATGCCCTCCCCCATGTGCTCAACCCATGCCGACCCCCCCCATGCGGATGTGCTTGAAGCGGCCACACCCATGCCACCGCTGCCCCTGCTGCCCCCTCTGCCAGGGGTGGCAGCAGCAGGAGCAGGAGCAGGGGCGGGGTGTGCACAGCTGGTCCACGCCCACGTGTCCAGCGCCTGCTTCATCTCCGCTGCCAGTGCGTCGCGCTCCTCCTGTGCCGTGCGCAGCACCTCCCTCGTTCCGCGCAGTTCCGCCTCACTCGCCTTCAACCGCTCTGCGCAGCGCAGTGGCGGAAATTGTGCGCGGGAGAAGCGACAAGAGAAGCAGCGGTGCACGAAAAAGGGGATATGTGGGGCAACCTTAAGTGACGGTGGAGGGTGGGGTGGGGAGTACAAGGCGGCTGAAAGCGAACGGACGCACACATGCACTTGCTCCCCAACACTCTCACCCTCTTCACGCTCCAGTTCCCCGCTTCACTTCCATCCCATCTAACCCACACATGGCATGGCATACCCGACAGTTGGTCGTTTTTGGCCTCGGCGCGTCGCACGGCGTCGTCAGCGAGGGCGAGTCGCCGGGAGAAGTCGCCCACCATCTTCAGCATGCCCGCCATCTCCGTATCCGCGCCCCGCGCGCCCGCTGACTCCCCTGAGTCGCGCGCACTCGACACGTGCAGCAGCGCGCGCAGCCCCTGGATCTCCTTCTCGAGCGCGCACTTGTCGCCCTGCACGTCGTGCAGCTGCGCCTCCACCGCGCTCACCTGCGCCCACACCGCGTCAACCTCCCTGCCCGCCGCCGCCTTGCCCTTGCCCGCCGCCTTGAGCGCTCTCTCCTTGCGCTTCAGCTCCGCCTTCACTGCGCCCACCTGCCCCTCCAACTCACGCCGCTCCCGCGCCCACGACGCCAGCACCGACTCCGCCCCTACCCCCCCATCCCTATCTGCGCCGGCCTGCGCGCGACTGCTGCCCTTGGGGGTGATGTCGAGCCCGCGGTAGTTCCAGCTCAGGTGTTTCGGGAAGCCGCCGCCGCCTCCGCCGCCGCCGCCGCCGACGCCGTCATCGTTGACGATGTCGATGACGCCGCTGCGCTCGATGCGCTCCGCCTCCATGCGCAGGTACGCCAGCTCCTCCTGCTCGGCGCGCAGCTGCGCCTCCATCGCCCCCATGGACCCGCCGTTCACCCACTTGCCGCTGCCCGCGCCCGTCAACATCCCCATGGACCCCGCCAAAGCACACCCGCCCCGCAACCCGGCTCCCCTGATGTTGGCCTCCGACGCGCTCTTGTGCACTCGCCGCGCACGCCGCTCGGACACCTCCCGTCCGTCCGACGACTGCTCCGTTCCGGTCGCGATGTCCATGCCCCCCACCAGCAGGCGCACCGCCAAGCGATGTCCCCCTAAGATCAAGTGAAGTATCTGTGGTCCTACGAGAGAACGAGCCCTACTACGAGAATGTCATCCAGAAAAATCTCGCGCAGGAATTGGGGACGAAAGAAAAAGCTAGATGTAAGGGAGTAAATTGAACTGTACTCTAATATTTCTCAGCAGAAATCGTATAATTTTAAAACCTCTTCTATAGCATCCTTGCAGAAATTTTGAAAGAACGACTCCTATAATTTACCATAGTTTCATGTATTTTATCCACTATTACTGCTACCACAGCTGTTTTTCTAGCAATATCCTCCAGTTCTGCAACTCGCCCAAGAGAGCAAGGCAATCGTGTGTTGATATCATTAAATAGTCCTATCTGTGAAGTTAAGCTGTACAGTACCTTAAAAGCTACACCTTGTCACTAATCGAAGCCATGATGCTAACTCAGCATGCGTGTGAGTGAGCAGCACACGAGTTAGTGGTAGGACAAGGTGGGGCATGCCAGACTGCCTCCCGCCACCAGCCTGTTCCTCCTCCCGCCCCCCACCTCCCCCACCATGACCCCCGCCCCACTGCCCTGCTGCTCCACTTCCCCCTCCCACCCTGCCCCATTGTACACTACACCACCCTCCTCCCTCCTCTCCTCCCTCCGCTCCTCTCTTCTCTCATCCCTCACGGCTGTACTGTGTGGGTGGTGGTGGGGCAGCTCATAGCAAGCATTCATCGCGCACATCGAGTGCCGCCGCTGGGGCTGGGGCGACTGCCACCGCCCACACCGTCCCTGGCCCTCACCGCCTCCCACCACTTCACACCCACCGTAACCATGCCCAACCTCACCCCCAACCTCATGCACAAACCCCTGCTGGTGAAGCTGCAGCAGGCGGGCATACATGCCCTGCCCTGAGCGCTGGCTAGACCCACTGGAGCGAGCGGGGGAAGGCGAGGGCACGGATGTGGGTGCAGGAGAGGGTGCAGCAGCCCAGCAGCCAGCAGCAGGGGGGTACTGGCGCTCAGCACTCTGCTGCATCCACTCCAGCTGGTGCCGCTGCCGCTGCTCCTGCTGCTGCTGCCACCGCTGCTGCTGCTGGCTGCTGCAGTCGGATGCGGCCACAGGGGAGGAGGACGAGGGGGAGGAGGAGGAGGGGTTGGCGCCGGGCGGCGGGAGGGCAGCATCAGGGACGTGGGCGAGGAAGTGGGCGATGATGATGCGCTCTAGAGCGGGCGGGGCGAGGCCCTTCTCTGCCTCAATGAGTCGCAGCGCGGCAGCGAGCGTGTAGACGGACAGCTTGCGCTCGCTGCCCCGCGTCACCTTGCTGAAAATAATGTCCGCACTCTGGTGGGGCGTGGAGGGAGGAAGGGAGTGAGGGAGTGGAAGGGATGAGCGTGTAATCGCACAGCTTGCGCTCGCTGCCGCGTGTCACCTTGCTGAAAATAATGTGCACACTCTGGTGGGGACGAAGGGAGCGGCGTGTTGGGGCATGGGAGGAGCATGGGAGGAGCGTGGGAGGGACGTGGGAGGGGCGTGGGAAAGGCACACAAGGAGAAGATGGTGAGGCAGAAATGTATGTGGCGAGTAAGGGCTCCATACATGCATGCACGCCTGACCAGCCATGAAGGCCGCGAGCAGGTGAGATAGAGATCAACAAGGCAGCAATGCATCCAGGAACGCGAGCTCAAGGCAGTACTTTCTTGGAGTCCAGAAGCATGGCAAGTGGCAAGGTTGGTGAAGTGTGCATGAAAAATGGCAGATTCCTCACACTCTTGACGTAATAGGGGAGGCAGCACGCAGCAGGCAGTCAGGGGGGAGCAGGAGGGGGAGGGAGGGACGTACAGTGGTGGTGAAGCGGGCGTCGAGGATGGCGGTCTCCTTGCACATCTTGATGAATCGAATGCTGTCCATGCGCGGCGGTGGCAGCCCCTGCAGCTGATGCCTGCCACACTGCGCCTGCTCACCCATGCCATGGGCGCACGCACGATGTTTGGGCATAAAGGGATGAGTAAATTACCTACTTCGGCATGCATAACGACAATGGCAACACATGACCATGGAATGCCAGTGACAAGAGCATGAATGCATACAGGAACTGCACGGGTATGAGACTCATGCCTGACATGCCACGTTAAGCAGAAATGGGTACATGGGATGAGTCACTGAGGCACGAGGCAAGGAATGGGAGAGCCACTGAGGCAAAGGCGGGGGGGAGTTACCAGCGGAACGAAGTGGTGGCGGGCGAAGTGGGGGAGGGAGAAGAAGCGGAAGGCATCGAAGAACATGAGACTCGCCACCGCCCCCTCCGCTGCTGACGCTGCCGGGTTCTCATTTGTCAGCCGCCGATCCGCGCTGCTGCCCCCCTCGTCTGCAGCGGACGAAGCGGGAAAGAAGCTATTGGATGCACGCTTGCAGGCACACGATGTCCCGCCTGCCCACTCAGTGCACCCCGCAGCCATCCACACACAGGCACGCTCATTCCCAACCCGGCCCCTCTCCCACGCCTCATTCCCCTCTTAGTTCTCTCGCTTAATCTCATGCTCGCGATTTACTCGCGCCACCCCATGCAGCACCCCATACACCACCCCGTACACCACCCCGTACACCACCCCATGCACCACCCCATGCACCACCACAGGCACTCACCATCATACTGCAGCGCGCCTCTGCTTGCTCCGCCCTCTGCCGCCCCTCCCACTACCCCTCCTGCCTGTCCCCTGCGGCCCTGCCTCAAATCCTCGGCTGCTGCTGCCACAGCGGACACCATCGCTCGTCCCATGGCGCCATCCGTCCAGCCCACGCCAATGCTGTCGCCACCATCATTATCATCATCGGCTATCCCCTGCGCATACCCCCCTCTCGCCGCCACCTCCTCCCCACCATGGCGCCACTCCACCGCATCCCAATCCCGTCCCCCCGCCACTGCCTGCCTCTGCGCAAAAGGCTCCCCGCCTTGCGCGTTCTCATTCCGCTCGCCTGCACCCCTCCCCGCCTGCTGCCCTCCCTCCGTCCCCCTCCCGCCCTTCTCCGCCCCGCCCATCGCCCTGCCTTCATGCGAGTTGTGATCCGACAGTGATGACCTCAGCTCGCTCAGCGGCTCTGGGCGGCACGCCTCTCCTTCCGCCACGTGTCCTCCTGCCGCCCGCGCGCCCGTGGCATGGGACGCCCCGAACCCGCCAGCAGCACTGCGAGCGTGCTCCTCCGCCTCTAGAGACCTCGTGCGGATGAGCCTCAGCCTCGGGGGAAACTCGTCGCCAGGCGGCACTATGTCCCCCGCGCCACCCCCCCCTCCCCCGAACCCCCCAGCGGAACCACTAGCGCCACCAGCAGCGGGTCGTCCGCCCCGGCCCTCCCTGAGCGAATAGGACGTGTGGGCGGCGAGGGGCGCGAGGGCGGCGGGGGAGGCGGGCGCAGCGTGCGCGGACGCAGCGTGCGCGGAAGCAGCGTGCCCGGCGGCGGGGTGAGGGAGGGAGAGGCGGCGCGAGTGCGCGGAGGAGAGGGTTTGGTGCGACGCGAGGAGCGACGAGGAGACGTGGTGGGAGAGCGTCATGGAGTGGCGCGTCGCGGACGTCAGCGCGGGCTGCGGCAGGTCCATAGCGATGGCCTGCACGTGGCACGCGATGACAGGGACACGTGGACACGAGCACATGAGTACATGAGGAGAAGGACCAAGCGTGAGGCACTGCGACAGGGTTGAACTTGCAGAGTCACATCAGTGCGGAAGCGGAACTGCTGTGCCAACCCCCTTGCCCTAACTGACTTATCCCAGGTCGCACCTGGCGGATAAGGTCGTTCTTACCTGGTGGACAAGTTCTTACCTGGTGAATATGTTCTTACCTGGTGGATAGGTTCTTACCTGGCGGTAGGGTTTACCTGGCCGATTGTGTCTTACCTGGCGGATGAGGTCGCACCTGGCGGACGAGGTCGCACCTGGCGGACGAGGTCGCACCTGGCGGACGAGGTCGCACCTGGCGGATGAGGTCGCACCTGGCGGATGAGGTCGCACCTGGCGGATGAGGTCGGTGGAGGTGACGCCCAGCTTGTCGGCCATGACGGCGACGGCGTCGCAGAAGTTGTCGAACGTCAGCTTCTTGCGGCCCTGCACGCACACGCGCGGCAAGCAGAACACCGACACATTGTCGCTCGCACCTCGTCGCTCACAGCTCGTCGATCGCAGTTCGTCACTCACGGCTCGTCGCTCACAACTCGTCGATCACACCTCGTCGCTCACAACTCGTCGCTCACAACTAACCGCTCCGCAAACCGAAGAAGACGAACTACAGAGCGGCACTAGAGGCTACACTCCTCAGATCGCGGGTACAATTCTGAACACAACTTAACGGCTAAATCCTTAAACGGGTTGAGTGGTTACGATTCTAGACACGGCTTAACGGCTAGCGGCTTAACGGCCACGATTCTACATGCGGCGTCGCGGGGCTCACGCGCGGCTTGATGGTGACGAAGAGCAGGTCGACGTCCGTGACGTGCAGTCCCGCGCCGCCTCCCGCGTGCGCGATGATCCCCAGGTCGCGACAGAATCGCACGAACTTGATGTTGTCCATCTCGTCCACTTCGCGCGCCGTGCCGAGGCTGCCACGCACACACGGATGAAATTCATTCCAGAAAAGGGACGAATGTGGCAGATGAAAACTCAGAAACTATATTTCAGCGCGAATTGATGAAGCCACGCTGGGCAATTTGTCGAGCAAACCACCGTAATACACCTGAAAAACCACGTCCTTCTCTTCGCTACTGCGAACAGTATGATCAGGTCGAGCACGCACCAGCAATACTGGTTGAATATCTGGTATAGAGCGTCGTAATCATCGTCCGAAGGGACCTGAAACCCGTCTACCGACGCCATTCCAAAAGTCGATTGGATGAACACAAGAATCGCCGACGACTGAACGATATTATGAAGGCGTGTATCGCCGACGACTAAACTAGTCCGAGATTTCTTGGTGCAATCGCAGTAAGAATAGGTATAACTTGCAAGATC